CGCTCTGCAAGTTGTACAATAGGACCGAGAAAACTGTTTTCGATCCTACTGAACAACTCAGGTCCTAGTATTGCTCNCACNGTNTNAACTAATNNCAGGTTGACATGTTGNTGCGCCGTTTTATTATCGTCAGGTTCAAAACCAGGTTTGTAAATCTGTTCTGGCATGTTTATGCCGTCAAATATTTCATCATCTGTCTGATTCATCTGAAAACTTGTTGAAAACACATGTCAATTATCGATTTATAAACTGTTAAAAACATTTATAAAATCTGTAAATTGTCTGAATTTTATCCGTAATCACTTCAAGAACAAAACTTTACCTAGTTTTACAGTTTTAACCAGATTCACGTCAATAAGGAAAAACTACAAAGATACATATTCAAACCAAGTGCGACGACGAGTTTGAAACTCATATCGACAATATCGGATAGTCGCGAATCGAAAAACCATTGACAAAATCAAATAAACTAGTAAAATGTTACACAAATCGGCGATATTGCGAAATCGCGAATCAAAAACTAGATTTAGATCTAGATTGAGAAATCGAGAAATAGAGATGAAAATTACCTCTAATAAGCTTCGATTTCCTCTCGAACGACCTCTAAAAAGTTTCGATTTCATCTCCAATTACGTCTAAAAAGCTTCGATTTCCTTTCTAAAGAGATGAAAAGTGCCGATGGCGATTAGGTTTTGGGAGAGCGAATACTGAGAGCGTACTTTTGTTTCAGGGGTAAATTTTTCCTTCTCGGATAAAATCGTGGCATTTTTGTAAAGGGTCCAGTACGTGTGGCAATTTTGCAAACTGTGGCCTATTTGTGGCATTTTTGTGATTCCTCCTATTTTTTAACTTATATAATTTTCAATATATACACTTGGACCAAGTGATTTGGTGAGTACCAATAGCGTCATAGGGTCTAAAATTTCCATTTTCTTTGTGATATTCTATAACTCTATATTGATTAAATAAGTATTTTTATAGATTCTTTTTATTATTTTCTTTTTGTATGGTTGTGTATATCTTTAAACTTTTAAAATTAAGCTTTCTATATCCTTTATAACTTTTGTTTTTCCAATTTATATACCATTTTTATCATTCGTCTTTTTAATTATTTTAATTGATATTTTTATTTTGTATGTATTATTTTTTATTTTATGCCTTACATAATATCATATTTCATCTTAAATTTTTTTTTTAATTAGTATGGATAGTATTAAAAATTTTACTTTTTATTATTTGATTAGTAATTTGACAACTACTTTCCATTTTAAATCTTATTTTTCTAAATTAATTTTAAATTTTAACACATTCATCATCTGATCAATATTATATATATATCGCGATATCGTGAGTTGTAATTTTGCTTACGTGTCATCCTTATATAAAATGAATTGCGGTAAATACTTTTGATTTTAAAATTTATAACGCTTATAATTTGACATATGTAATTAGATTCTAAATTACGACTGACACAAATATTTAATATTTATTTTATTATTATATATTTTTATATTTGATTAAATTGTCAATTTATTATATTTATCTCATACTAGTATCATACACGTTATTATATTAGCAAATGACACTTATAATGTGACGTCTCCTTTTGTCTTTAACTATTTAAATATTTTGAAATGGAAAGAATGTATTTTGTAATATAACATTTAGAAATATTACCTATTTTAGTATGGCGGTTTTTTTTGTTAATTAGTTCATAATCCTTGTTTAGAATATATTCTTTATTTTAATATTTAAAATTTTGTTAATATTGACACATGTCACAATCTAAATTAACAATTACATGTGTCGTAATTTGATGAGTTACAATTTTGTTTATGTGTTACGTTCTCATAGTACGCATTCTCATTTATACAATAAGATTTTGATGGCCATCGCATCATTATTGTTATTTAATCTGTTTTGATATAAAGTATAGATATTATCTTCTTATTGTCATTTATGCGTA